GTTGCTATGCAAACTGCCCCCTCCTTTCTCACCCACCGTACGCCGAGATAGCATGAAAACACAGGCGGCTGCCGACGCCTGCAGAGTGGGTGAGAACTCTTCATAAGGCTCGAATACCTCCCTGTCAGTTCTCGGGGGTGTTGCAAGTGCTGTGTACTTTCAGCATCTTGTTTGGAGGCTGGTAGAGGAAGGAGGCTCCATGTGAGATATCACTTGGTCATCAGAAACCTAACGTCTTTTTGGACTTGCGTTCTTTTAGCCTGTTTCATTTTTTAAAGCTGTCAATGTTGGAGGATGGAATGAACGTAATTGTACATTACGTATATGGCTTATTTATATACATCTGGGGAACTGTGTTTTTACAATAAAAAAATTAGAAAAATGTCCTTTTCTCTGTGTGTTCTAAAATGAAAATCCAAAAGTGGAGGACGAGAAGGAAAAGTAGTTCAGAAAACATGGAAACAAGTAAGCAATGGTGTAGCTCAGGCAGAGGACAGCAACAGGTGTCCATCCTGCCTGTTTTGTGGGTGACTCGTAGGTATCGGAGATGCCCTCATATCCTCCCTGTTCAATTCCTTTCACCAGTGCAAGCCACAATGCTGACAAAGGTTGCCAGGCCCACAGTGCTGCTGGCCAAAGTCCTCAGTCCACCCAGCTGTCTGAGTAGCAGCAAGGGAGCGTACCTGTGTCCTCTGCCCAGCCAGCATGCCTCTGCTCTGACCTTCAGGGTCTCACATTTGTGGCTTCTTTGATTTTCAGACTCCTCTCAGAATGTTACCAGCAGTACCACGGGCACCTTGTGTTTTGTGAGAGGCCACAGTCTAGTCCGTAGTTGAATTCCGAAGGACCTTTCTGCATTAGTGCCTGCAGTGGATCAAACTGGTGGAGTGTCTTACAATTCCTTTTGTTCCTTCTCTGAACCTCAGTGTAATGCTAGAGATGTCTCTCCTCCATTTCATCATGTCAGGAGCTCTTCTTTAAGCCAGGAATTAAGAGTAATAATGAAGACAACTAGAGAGGATTTCAAATTTGGACCATCTGTGCTAGCTGGGCCCGATGTCCTCTCACATAATTCTTTATTGATTAGGTGGAAGGGAAATGCAAGGGGGGTGGGGGACACACTGGTATCATAAGGTAGTTGGTACCATGATACCTGCCCTGTGCGGTGGCCCACAGTGCCAGGAGCATTGTGCAGTGCAGAAGAGTCCAAATCCTTTGAGCTGTCTCTTGGTGTGGTTACTCTGTCTCTCTCCAGCTGGCTGCCTTTACGTGAAGATAGCACTGTTGACTGGCACTTTCTGCAGCTGGCAGGTGGAAAAAAAGATGATTTTCCCTTCCACAGCTTTCTATCTCCTCTAGGTTCAGAGGAAAAGGTAAAGGCAGTGTCTTTGGAAGGCCCCGTGTTGGAGCGTGATGATACCTTCAGCCATACCATACTCTCTTTAATTGTGCCTCTTTCACGCTAATGAATAATTAACTGCTGTGTGCATATGCACAGACACGCTGGTCATGGGCATCTCTGCAGGGTCGTGATGACCTGCAGATGATCACAGGGAGCTGCTTACCTCAGCACACAATCTTTTGGCCTCGCTGCCAGTTTGTTATCTCTTTGGCCACCAGCTGACCAAAGCTAATGTCTCCATGACCTGCATCGGCAATAAGCAAATGTTGACGGCTCCCCAACCTTCTCAAAGCATGAGCGTGCAAACAGATTGAGGTGAGCTAGGTGTGAATTTGCAGCAAGTCAGCTCCCACACTGTAGCTCCCCCAAGGTAAGTGCAAGGTGGTTCACAGGAGAGCGGCAGGCTATTTTTGTTTTCAAGGGTAGCAGCTTTCCCACAAGAAATTACCTCGAAGAAGCCAACCCGTCTTAGCTGGTTTGTGTGCCCGTCATCGGCGCTGTACGTGAAAGCACAAACCTCAGCTTCCCAAAATTCAGCTTGCATGTCAGGCAAGCATTCAATAAGACAGATCAATTTTCCTGCCTGTTGCGAGTTGAGCCACGCTGTGCTGGCCCCTGCGTATTAGAAGAAAGACTTTTGCCCTCTTTTTGCTGTGGAACTGTCACGCTTTCAGGCATGCCTGTAATTTTCAGGGGAGTATGGTTCATAGATCGGAGACGGTCCCTTGTCCTGTGTTTTCCCGCAAGAGACCCCCTGCGGCTGATGCTTTGGAGCTTCCAGGGCCTATCTGCTTTTGCTTATTAAAATGCAGTCTCTTGCTGGAGATTTTTACCTTACGAATTTTCAGCAGAAAGCTGGGGAAGTTGGCAACAGGTGGCTTGCGATTGTGTTCTCCTCTCCCTCTCATTTTTTGCCCCCTGCATATTGCTGCCATTACCCATCAAAGCATCAGGCTGAGTCAGATGTAGAAAAGGAGATGAAAAACACAGGGTGATGCATCAGTGCCAGCCGAAATGACCCTTCCTATCCGCCCATCCCGGAAAGCTGCGATAGCAGCTCAGAGGGCTGTGCTTCATGATTTCATCCCTCCCTGCAGAGGGGAGATGGGCAACATCATTATTGGTTGCTGGGGAGTCTTGACTCAGTGCCAGCACTGGAAATGACCTCGGACACACGTCTCCTCCTCCACCCCAAGGGTGATTCGAACCTGCTGGGAAGGGGGGAAGGTGCTGGGAAGATGGAGGAAGAGTTGGTGGGGGGAGATGGGAAGAAAGAGGCACAAACTCAACCACTTCTCTGCGATGATGTCATGGCAACAACGTACGTTGACATGCTGTCAGGCAGTCGGGGCAGGCTTTGAAGCCCTCCAGCTCTTTCGCGTTGCTGCGGGCTCGTGTCTGACTTGCTGAAAAATCTTTTGGTTAATATTTAATGTAGGCATTGAAGTGCTAAGGGTGGCAAGTGCCCCACCTAATCCCCCTGCCTCCACTTACCCAATGGGATGCTGAATTGGGGTGGGGGGTAGGGTTGCAAGCTCCCCTAGCCTGGGGATGGGACTCCTGGTCAGTAGGGTGGCTTCAGCCCGTAGGGTCCCTGTCCCCATCTGGCTCTGGGATGTGGGAGGGCGGTTTCTATCCCTCGCAGCCCAGTTTGGAGCTGTTTTGGGGCACTGGAAGGAGGTGGGGGGTCTCCCTCTCCCCTTGGTCTCCCAGGGCTGGCTCTGGAATAAAGAAATCTGCGGCCCTGCTCTGGGAGCCAAGCCCAGCTCCTTCGATGCAAGCGGTTAGCACATGGTTTTTGTTGGTGTTTTTTTTTTTTGCTAAGCAATGACCTAATGATCCTGTGTTCCAGCTATAGCCCCTCCTAGGCGCCTTTTTTCCAAACGGTACGTCCGGACTGGATCCAGCAAACCTCCCAGAGCAAGACGCTGTGTTCCCTTCCCCGGGGAAGCCATCTGCTCCCCTCCGCCTGGCTCCTTCTGCAGGGCTTCAAGCTCGCCAGCCGGGCTGGAAAGCTCTCCTCCTCCTCCTCCTTCTCCCCGCGAGCCCCGGCTTCTCTCGGCCATCTTGTTAGCGCAAGGCGCGGGGAAGGGAACGCGGGGCTGGCTGAATCTGGGGCGGCTGATGGTGTCAGCCGGAGACGGTTTCCAGGCAACTGTCGCGCCGTGGGACACGGCGAGCCGAGAACACCGGGAACGCCGTGTTCTTGCCGTACCGCCTGGGTGGGGGCCGAGCCCGGCGTGGACGGAGCCGGCATGAGACGGCGCGGAGAGGGCAGCGGGAGGGTGG